GCGGGACGCGCGAGCGGGCGCCGCGGCAGCGGAGGAGGCGGCAGGCGTGCAGAGAAGTCGAAAGCGGCCCACCTGAGTCTGTTGCGGGATATTTACAAAGCTGGGATCCCGGGGTCCAACACTGACGAACCGGTTTGCGGGGGAGGTGCTGGGTGTCGAGTAGGCTGTGAAGGGAAGGGACACATGCGTTGAGGAAGCGGCACTAGATTGCACACAAACAACACCAAAAACACACCGTCTCGGAGCCACCTTAAGCAGATGTTCTAACACAGAGATGTGCAAACGTTTTAGAGCGCGAGAGTTCGGTTTTGGACACGGGAAAGGTTTTGTTCTTAACGATGGGTGTAGAGACACGGACGTGACTGGGCTGTTGCAATTTAATAAGGCAGTGGCATGCATTTGGGGGGAAACTGTGCTCCTTCCGAGGGCCTGCCCTGCAGCCGAGAGCGGGTCGCTGCAGGCCTCTGCCTCCTCTGAGAGCACGAGCAACGTCTGGAGGTGCTGGCACCGGGCGTGCGATCCTGGCGGCTTGCACCTGAATACGCCCTGTCGCCGACGCTAACGGCCTTTCGTCTAGCGGCGACTCTCCTAAAGTGCTTATTAACAGAACCAGACCCTTATTTCTTGCTAATCTAGCATTCTCTCTCAGTCTAAAGTTTTGGTTTTCATACTGCTGCGGTCTGCAGTCTCTAAAACGTTCGCTTGATGTGTTTGACAAACTAGGAAGATCCTTTCGGTAAAAAATTAATGGGTTGCAGTTTCACTGGGGTGGTAAGTGCAATCAGTCTGAAGGCTGAAGCTGCCTTTAAAAACTGGAATGGCTCCCATAAATGTAAAGCTATTAAATGCAATGCAAGCCAAGGAACCAGATTACTTCCAAACTTGAAGTACTTTAATGATTTTATTGTTGCATTATATTCTCCACTGCAACTGTCCACAATGCCACGTACTTCCAAATTCAAAAGCTTTCAGTGCATTTTCACTCTTCCTCTCGCATGAAAATTCCCTGTGCAATCTTCTCCTTTGTTCAGTTTTTTGCCTGTTCAGATCTAAATTCAAATAACCTAAATAGATGCCTTAATACAAACAGTGACTCTGTCTATTTTAAATATATTTATGGGAATGCGTTCTGCTGAACAAAATCCCCAGACAATCCAACTATCCAATGAAGAGACAAAAAAACAATATAAAAAGGAAAGTTACTTGCCAAATTCCAGTTAGACTAAATATAATGTTCAGGCCTCAAAATTACAGAAAAAATAACGCGAATTAAGAATCAAAGAACACTCTGAGTTTTCTGTATGGATGAAAGCCTGTTGCCTTTCTTAAGGCAAAATGTTTGGTGAAGTGGCATTACATTGGATGAGACTGTACCGAAGGGATGTGCAGAACCAAACCAACGATCTGTCCTATCTACTGTCCTCTCTCCTACAGGGGCTATAAGCAGAAGCACAGAGAAGAGTCCAAATAGGTCACATATTTGCTTCCTCCTGTTCTTTCCCT